TAATCTATAACCATTCTCTTTTTATGGTTGCTAGAAGTGGTTATAACTACCTGAGCCCTCCAGGGTGATTTGCTAGGCTCAATTATACCCTCCTCAAGTAGTCTTTTATCTCAGAGTCAATGAATTTTTTTATTATTATAAGAAAAACGTCTGCTTCTCACTGCTATGGGTTTGCAGTTTTCAGTTAGGGTTTTCGAAAAGTGACGGTACTGGATTTTTGCTGTCGCCAATCCACAAATTTTCAATGCGGGCATTGAACCGCCAAACGGAATTTCAACCTGTGAGTGTTGCTGCAAAAAATCGTGTCCCAGTATTATTTCGCAACAAAGGTTTTTCATTACGGATAATTTAGTGGTTTTATAGGAGACGTCATTAAATAGTAAGTCCACCAAACAATAACCACTTACTTGCGCAGAACAATGACGCATTTGCCATTGTTACTCTGCTGGGGAGGGGACAAAATACAATTTGTTGGTTTTTACCAAGCTTTCTTTGATAAAATTTCCTGAGCTCCCTGTGTCGAGCAGGGCATTTGTAGACCTCCCGTTAATTTTCACTTTTACAATAGTTTTTGAAAGGCAGTCGGGGAGGCGGCTAAAGTTGCAGAAGTATTTTGACGAGTGGATTTGTATAGAGTTTTAGAAGACTTGCATACCTTTGAAAAATGACCAAGTTTTCCACATTTATGACAACGAGTATCTCTGGCAGGGCATGAGACTCATAGGTGTTTAGATAAGCCGCAAAAAATAGCAAGTGTCCTTTTTAAAGCGGCAGTGACCGATTGTTCTTGAAGCTTCGTCCGGACTATCATCATGAGTGGGGACAGTAAGAACAGGTGGGTTTAACGTGGCGCCCACGGTGTCTGGCTGTAAATAAGAACTAGACTGCTGTATAGCACTTTCGAAGATATAGGCTTGCTCGTAAGCTGTTCTAAGTGTAAGGGTCTTATTCTCAAGAAGACGTTGTCTTACCTGAGTATTGCGTAAGGCGTCCAAAATGTGTAGCTCTTGGGCCTCTAATGCCGTCATTGGGCAGAAGTTGCAATCTTTGCTCAGTGTCCGAAGGCTCTTAAGGAAATGGTCCAATGTCTCGCCTGATTCTTGTTGGCGAGTCGCAAGTAGGTGTCTAGAAAATATCTCATTTTGGGGCTTTACGTATGTAGCATTCAGTACATCGATTGCTTCTTCGTAGGTAACGCAATCCGAGATAATTTCATTGACTGTGTGAGACAGGTAGTTGGTTAGGAGCGCACGCTTATTGATGGGACGTCCCGGTCTTTCTGAATGTAGAACCTCGATGAAATTTGTAAATGTCTCCCGCCAATGTTTCCAGCACTTGTCGGCTGAATCGCTTTCTGGATCTGTGGTAAGTCGCTCAGGTCGCATAAATTGTTCCATTCTTAATTGAATAAAATGTAATGAAAACAGGACAAGAGATTCTGTCTAGTAATCGTTTATTCAATTAAGAATACTACTACTCATCTGACTTGACAGCGGAAGTATACAGAGGAGATAATCCATATTCACAACAGACAATACAGTTTACTGCATTGCTTATTTAAGTAACTAAAGAAGTAAACATTATCTGGTTAGGGTTGATGCTGGTATTTGCAATAGTTTCATTGTAAAAGATTAATGGAAGCTATTTCAATAATTTTTTCAGGTATCCTTATTTTTGTGGGGTCCACTTATGCTTAATACTTTGTAATAGTAATCATCTCTCTTTTTGTATCTATTTTTCCTCCACAAACTTGAATTGTGACTAGTCACTTTGCTGATGTAATATTTGTAAAAAATAATTTATCCATGCCAAATTGTTACCCTTTATTCTATATCTCTATATTGACAACATTCTTTGTGCATGCATGCATATGTGTGTCTGAATATATATATATATATATATATATATATATATATATATATATATAAGGGAGAGGTTATAGTTGTTCCAACAAGAGAAAAGTGTATATTTTAAAGAGAAGAAAGAAGCCGTAAAGTTTTTGGTTATAATGTGAATTTTTTTAAATATATATTATACCTTATTTTCCATATTTTTGCTAAATGTGTTTCAGGTCTGTGACTTCATCAGACGAAGAGTGGTTATTTCCACATATTATTTAAAGGAATTAATTTTTGCCTTATGTTTTCCCATGTTTAACCATTGTCTTGTGTGTAATAGTAATCCAAATTTTCTTGGACTTGTGGAGAAAATCTTCTTCTGTTTAAGGGGTAATAAAACAATTAGGATTGGTCAAAGAAAGGGGTAAGAAAGGAGGTCTTTGTATTTATCTTTTTATGTTCATTTTTGTGCATTGTGTGTGTGTCTGTGTGTGTGTGTGTGTGTGCATATAGTCCATCTTGTGGATCTGCCAAAAGATTCAGGAAAAGAAAAACTTAGATATTGTAATACTATATTTATTCAACATCATGCGATTAATACAAGTTACCTTTGGACTCTACAATCACAAGAGATGCTGAAAATGGTGGCCTTTAGCTTCCAGATATTTATTAGTATGGTGAACTACTGATAAGGCCAAATGTTGGCCTAAGTACCCACTGGAATTGCTGCACAATTTCAATTTCTTGCCTAAGGGCCACCAATGTAGTCAATTTTCTGTGAGGCACATGATCGTTTAAGGTCCCCTATAGGTAGAAGTCTAAAAACTTCAAAAGACAAGCTTTTCCTTTCCTGAAGTGTGTATACATTTTTTGGCAGACTCCCCCCTCTCTCTCTCTCTCTCTCTCTCTCTCTCTATATATATATATATATATATATAACATATCTTCATTCAAGCATGTTTCATTAAATAATATAGACATATTATGTTTATTTATCTTTATAATAATCCTTTCTAGGTATCTAATACTAGATAAATTGAAATTCATAATGGAAGGTGCTGTATTTTTTGTTAAACCAAAGTACCTTGTACCTTCAATCTCCTCCAAGATCATCGTTAGAGGTGAATTGCAAAGACAAACTAAATGTAACTATAATAGTTATGATGGTGATTTTTGTAAACATACGTGTGTGTGTGCTGTTAGAATTATTTTAAAATTAACCATTGTGGTTATGATATATGCATGTATGTGTGTGTACATGAATAGAGTTTATTAGAAACCACAAAGTTTTTGATAATTTAGTCATTTTGTTCCTGTTTTCATGTTATCACAACAAACTTGTGCATGCATGAAAAAATGCTGTGGACACACACTCACATACATTCACTATGTCAAGTTTTATTATGCAAGCCAATGTTTTCAAAGTAAAATTGTTATTAGTCAACTACTAGTAGTTGGGAGCTATTTCATTAATTTGGTGCCTTTGAAACCTTTTTTTTTAGGTAAGGTGGGCAACAGTCAACATTGTTGAATATGAAAGAGCGTTGACTTGTACAAATATATTGTTTACCTTAAAGATTCAATCTTTGACTTATAACACTCAAAATTGTCTTGTCCAAGGAATTACATTCTCTGCATTTATCTTGATATCAACAACAACTTCGAAGGACCAATAATTTTACTATCAACACTACTAACTCAAACATTACCCCATCTCCCCACTCTGATGCTAGTTGACTATTTCCTTTCATCTTGACATCAGGTTCATCTCATGTAGGTCTACCTTCATCATGGAAAATTGCTGTTGAGAAATAATCTTTTATGGACTTCTTTGACCATCTTATGCGTTCATTTTTGTCATGTTCACTTAAAGATATTTTTGTTGCTTTTATTAGCCAATGTTCTTAATATTATGCATCTTTACTCTCAATTTATATTCACAACACCAGTCACTTCAAATATTTTCTTGCTGTTCAATTCACTTTTCTTGCTCTTTTGAGTTTTTCAAATCAATTTCTTTGACATTCTTAAAACCAGTTTTTTGTTCTTATTTTACTAATATTTGCAATTTATTTTTTATTTTTCCATGCTTTCTGTTCAACATTTCTGTATATTTTGCTTTCCTTTTAAGGTTATATCTTTATTGCAACACATGACAAATTTTATATATCTGAAATTAAAATATAACTATCATAACTATTCTATTAATTATACTGGGTGCGATGGATAAATTGTCTCCATTTTATATTTTTAATTTCACACATGTGCATTGTTTGTTTTTGATTTTGTAAGCTGAAGGCAATGATTATGGCAGCCTTCACCAACTTAAACAAGGAGACCATCCAAAAGAGTTGCAGGAAACTCTGAAGTCATCTGGAGGCCATGGCTGAAGCCAATGGTGATTTTATTGAATCAATTTACTCTTTAGTATTTCATGATATTTTTGTGTAATTTTAGTAAATATATCTGTTATGAGATGTTAATGTTATTTTCATTTTTGTGTAATTTATATGACAATTTATCCATCACACCATTTATATATTTATTTAGAATATGATGAACAATAATAAAATCTCATACGACCAAATTAAAAAAAAACAATATTATACACTGAACCTCTCACAATATATTATTTCTATAATTATAAGTATCATGTAAAACATTTTACCAACATTGGTCAGTTAATACCAATTTTATTGACTTGTATAATAAAATCTGAAATTGTGTGTGTGTGTGTGTGTGTGTGTGTGTGTGTGTGTGTGTGTGTGTGTGTATATATATATATATATATATACATACATACACAAACACGCACACAATATTTCAGATTCAGATATATAATGTGTGCGAAACCCTCTATCCACTGTATTACACAAATAATAGCTAATGCATTACTTGACTTATAAAGGTTATCTTTGTGGTTTGTATAATAGAAAAACAATGATGAAAATAATCCTTAATAACTGACAAATATTTTATCACTCAGGTTTTCAATTCTAGTTACTGATTTATAAATGTTCTTATTTATGTGAGAGAGTTTCTTTTTTTGTATCCATCTTCATTGAGACTGTTTGAAATAAAATAATTCTTTGATATGTACCCACCTTTTTTTCGATAAATAGATCATTTACTTATATTGCCTTTATTTTATTTATTTTATAGTGTGTCAAGGAATCACTGGACAGTGTGGAGCAGTCTGTTAATGAAGTATTGGCTTTAAAAGAAGGTACTATCCAGCGGAGTCATGAAGATGATGCCAAGAATATTGTCACCATAACAGATCATTTACAAGTTCAATGGCAGAGTCTTAATGATGCCTATTGCAAAAGATACAAGTGAGTCATTGCTTTTCTAAAACTATTTGAAAGCTTTACAAAATCTCTTATTCTGGGATCAGTTTTATGACTGCTAAGCCAACTTTGCAATGTTTTAGTTAAGTCACTTGCTTACAATCTAGCATTTATTGATTTGGTTTCAGAAATAGAGGAGAAATTCGATTCTAAGATTTCAACTGGCTGAACTCATGGCCATAAATCCATTTATAACAAAAAACTAATAATTTTTCATACTTTACTCATGTAAAGATAATTAGAATTTCTCATGCTCTTCTGATATGAATATAGTTTGGTATTTTTATTGACTTTCTCACTTATGATTAGTTAAAGAAGCAGATGAATCACATTACTTATATTCTTATAGGTTTAGTTGATTGATTAAATGAATAAGTTGACTCCTTCCTAGAAACAAGATCTGTAATGGTTCTTTTTTACAAGTTCCTTCAGGGAGAGTACATTTGGGAGTTAAAAACAGAATATCACTTTTAAAATAATCAGTGTCTTGTAATGATCAAATTTATGGTAGTTAACATTCTCATGATAACATTTATAATATTAAAAACTGTTGTGTAATTATTGACATATAGATGTTTATAATCATTTTAATATGTCAATATGATTCATCTTTTTCATTCATGTTAATTAATCTCAGTTTTTTTTTTAGAATTCATTAATTTCTGTTTGATCAATATTATCATTTGATTGTTTTTATATTTTAAGATAACCATTAAGAGCTTATGGACTTGTATTCTTCTTCAGATCATTTACATGTTCTATTGGATCTAAGTTTAAGAATTTTAAAGGAATTGGTTTTAATTGCTAAACAAGTTTACCAAATTAAATTTAAAGTTGTTAAAAAGGTTTTAACTGAAATATACCAAAAATAATCCTGAAGGATATAAAGAGATACAGTATATAATTTTAATTATGAGAGTAAAACAAAGATTCTTAATGATTTAAAAGAAATCTAAAAACTTTTTAAATATTTGAGATATTCCTTTTTTTAAAAATTGATTATTTGTAAGTTTATGGAAATGTTTAAAAAATGACAAACGTTTATAATTCTAGCATTAAAGATTTGCAAATAAAAATTCTAAACTTACATGATTTACAATTATTATATTGGATCTTGATGGAAATTGTAAAAAGTCTGTATTGCAATTGTCATTAACATTTTGTTTTTGATTCTACAAAGAATTTTATGATTTTTTTTTTAGCTTAATTGCAATTAAGTTGAAGAGGAAATCATCAAAATTTTTGTCTTGTTTGATTGTATCAATACAGTATAAGATCTATTTAATTTTATATAATGTTATTAAGTGTATTGAGCTGTTGAATTTGAAAATATTTCTATCATGTCTGTTGGCTACCATGCATAAACCAGATTTATTGTTCAATTCGTGTTCAATATACTTATGAAGTATTCTCATTCAATTAACTATATCTGTTAATGTCATTATTTGATTTATCTAGAATTACTTCAGTAACTTAAATTGATTTACAACCTTGGATTGATAATCATTTGTATGTATTAAACTATTATACACATAGGTTACACTATACTTTTATCTATATTCTGACACCTTACAAATAGAAATTGATTAACATTTGTCTACTGAAGTGTACTGCAAAGAATTCCAAATTCTGTAAAGTTTCTGTGATGGCGTAGTTGAACTAGCAAACTCTTTAGTCTAACATTGAAATTCATTTAAGTTCACTAAGTTGCTAAAAAATGATAGTCATATTTCATTAAGCTACCATTCCCAGTGTTTAGTTCAAAAGATGAAAAAAAAAAAATGTAGGAATCTCATCTAATTAGGGAAGAACATTATTTGCATTAATAAAGACACTAAATCAAAAATGGAATTCTAAAAGGAAATTTACAAATTGCTTTATTCAGTTGCAATCATCTATGGCATGATGTCTGCAGGCACTTATCAGGATTAATTTAACTGTTACTACTAAAGTTTATTTTATTAAAATATTATATATTTCATGACTGAAAAAATTGTTCCACTATCAGAGATTTTACACATACAATAATTATGAATAAAACTAGCAACTTTAATGCTTCGCTTAAAATTTTTCCCACCCTCATAAATAACATTTAATTTTCCAATTAATAAATCATTTTAAATTTCTCTCACCATCAGAAATAATCTTTAATGGCTTATTTTCCAATTAATAAATCACTTAAGCGTAAGTAGAAAACAGATGTAATAAAAATATAAATTAGTCTTTGCCTGAGACTTTGTATAGTTAAAATGAAGTAGTAGTCTTTTCTCCAAATGAAATAAAGTAAAAATATATTTGATAAAGTTTTCTCTTAAATACTCTTTTTGCTTGAGTATGGATCAATTTTTAATTCTTTCAAGATCTTAAACAGAAAAACTCTTTTGAAAAAATGGGGTTAATAAGTAAAATATAAAACCTCATTTGTAAGTATTTGATGTTACGCATAAATACACACTGATAGGAACTGTCATGTATGTTATATACTAAAATGTTTTCTCAAGTTTGGTTCTTCTCATGCACCTTAGACAATCCTCTCTACATAAAGTATATGAAAAAATATTAGTTTCTCTTTCTAAATTTACCATGAAGCACCACTTGAATGGAAAACATATGTTGCAAAAGTGCACAAAAACAAAAGCAAACCTCGCAGAAAACAGAAATATACATTAAAATTATTTATGATGATAAATGTTACCAACTAGTTAATGTGTGCTATGAAAGCTACTCTAATATTTAGGGTTTGTTTGAAATAAACCAAGTTTGACAGAAAATGATATTCCTAAGAGCATCTGACTTGAACCAAATACATCAATCATTTTTATGTTCATTATATTATCATATTATATTATCACCTATACAAGATGGTTATTGTTACTCTATTTAGTTTTGAATATCTCTTTTTCAATGATCATGCTTCATTATCATACACATGTGCAATTTTATGACTGGCTGTATACACTAAAGTTATTTGTCTTTACCATATCACGGTTATAAAAAATATTGCCTATTAGGTCATGATGAATGGCTACTATGTTCAGAAAGAATGGTTTATTAGAAAAATATATTTAAATTACTCTAGAAATAACAAACAACAATACAACTTAACAACTCTTTACAGGTTATTCAAAGCCAGAAAATATTTTTAGAGCATGAGATTTTTTTTTTTTTGAGATGATAATGGTTTAGTAATACAAATCTTACTAATTAAGCCCATATCTTGGAGGAAGAGGAGGTGGATTTATACCTTTCTCAAGGATATATGCATGTAACTGAATATAACAAACTCATTTGAAATTGAAAATCAGCTCTTTGATTAATAATTCCAAGCTATTATCCATTACACCACCCGTACATCCAACTTACAGCACCTGGAATTTCCAAACAGTCACCTATCTAGGTACTGACCAAATGTTGCTTAACTTCGGTGATCATACAGGAACTGGTGTTTCAATGTGATGTGGTCAAAAGCTATCTTTAACAAGAACATTTTTTAAAACTACATCATGCAAACATTAGTATCTCACAAATATTTAAATAATTATGAAATTGGTATCTTTTATTATTTTCATAAAATGTGTTCTCATTAAAACATAACCATATCCATAAATTCAACTACATTTGACATTTATTTTTAAAGTTTTTATTTTTTAATTATACATTTAATCAATAATATAATATTTTTACCATTCTCTAAATGATAATCTTTGTAATTTCATCTGAAAAGGAAAATGCCAAAAAGAAAAAAAAATATTATGCAATTCATTTTTGGTTTCTTTTCCTGTTAATTGAGTGCAATGTTACCTTCACAGTTAATGTCAAGCTCCAAACCTATTTGAGTGATAAAATTTGTTTCTGTTTTTTCTCTTTGCAGTGGTCATTATTGTACTAATGGAAATATTTCATTTCTTGTTAGATGTTGAATTACTTTTAGACATTTTGTTTTTGAGCTGTAATCAAAAAGAATTTTCCAAATATAATCCCTTTATATAATTATATGACATATAAATAATCATTTCCTAAATTATTATAATTACCACATATTTTTTTTTCTTTTGGAAGATTGATAAAAAATTAAAAATGCTGATATTAACAGATAAAACTTCTTGTGTAGATTTGAAATTAAAATTTTCCTTCAAAACTTTCATGAAATAACAGAGTCATCATCCTGAAACTTTACATGAAGTCACTTGTTTTTGCACACAAATGTCATGCAAATTGTGAATAATACCAACAGGACATTGCATTCACAATATGTCACTGTTAAAATCAAAAGCTTTTCTCTGAACAATGTAAATAATTATAATACTTCATCTCAGAAATATAGACAGCTTTTCTTCTGCTTAGCAAGTTTGTTGGTTACACTTTAGTTTTCTTCCAAACTAAGTGATCCAAATCAAAAAAAGAAAATAAATTTAGTCAATTAATAAAATAAACCAGAATGACTTTTAATTCACTCAGTACAAGAATTAATTTTCTATTTCTGAAATATTTATTAACATCTGAAGCATCACTAAATTAGTTGAAATCTATTATCCCAGTTTTTTATTCTTTTATAGTGATATTTTTTATTTTAACCTTTTTTAAGTATATGAAAATTATTGTTTTATGCAAAAAAATTACTTTCTTTCCCTTTTTCATTTTCAGTTTTCAATCTTCTGTAAGAGTGTAAATAAAAATACAGCCTTTTACAATACACTCTGCATTCATTTCATAGGGTATATATTTGTTAAATACTTATTACCCACTAACTCTAAGAATATTGATACATTGTCAAATACAAATATAAAATATACAAATAGTATCCAGTAAAAATATCTGAGTTGCACAGACACACTTGTATTTTCTTATTGGTCTTTGTTAAGGTTGTCTATAAGCATAACAGCTTTTTACTACTCCTGCTTAAGTAAGTAGTTATGAGAGAGTGGTTTGCTTACTCATTTTGTCTTTTCTCCATCAACTATTATGATATCCCAGATATCTATGAATAGGACAGTATTCAAGGTGAAATCATGCCCTTCCAAACAGCATTAGGTCAAAGAGTACAATGGCCAAAATGTTGTGAATATGACAATAAAGATGAGGATAACAGTCCAAGCAAGGTAAATAGTGTAAATAGTTACAATACCTCACCTTAGAAATATAGACAGATAAACAGTTTCAGTTGAAATTAGCAAATTAAAATTTATATTCAAATCTTAAACTGCATTATTTTTTTTATTTTTTCTTATGGTTTTCATTTTTAAATATTCAAATCTTTTGCATTTAATATTATTTTGTTAAGCAATAGTTTCTTGAGTCAGGCATATAGAAATTATTAGATTTTTAAAGACATTCTCACTCAATCTCTCTTCATAATGAAATTGTATAAAGTGTACTTATAATTCAACAGATATATCATTAGAATTTAAGATTTAATTTCATTAACTTGATGAACAAAAGTTGCCATGTCAAATGCTTTTAATTTAATCAAATCTTACTGGTTTCTGGTCAGGGAATGTGGGTAAATCTTTTATCTTTTGCTATGTTAAACACTTATGAATAATTGCAGAATACATTACTGAATTTTTTATTAGTTCCTCTTCTCTAGTTAGCTTGTAATCCTTACTTTAATCCAGCTCCTTGAATTCAAGTTTTAAGTATCAAGAAGCAGTTTTACAATGCTCAAACCAGCCTCTTGATCCTCATAGCAGCTGTTGTTCATTCAGTCAATGAGTTTTGCTTTTACAAACAATCTTACTCCAGACTTGCTGAAATGGTTGCACAGTAAAACGTTTGTACATATATTAAACACTGTCTTCATGTTACTCCTTCTTTCCTACTTAGTCATCCACTTGAAATATTTGCAATCAAGAGATTTTCTTATATTGAGAATACTATTCCTGAAAAACAAAGGTGTGGAAATTGTACTATAACTGATCTGTTATCTTATCTTGACATCTAATGGTAGAATGGAAATTTTTTGTTAGGCTTTTATTACAGTTAGGAAAATGTGATGAAATACAAATCATTATCATATTTCATGCACCTGTACTTGTATTAGTAATTAAAATTATTTTCTCATTAGAAATTTCCAAAATCTTAATTAGAAATTCTTCTCAATTTGAAATATCTAAAAAATAAAGTACTTCTAAAATATATTCTTCTTTACAAATTTATAAATCTAAAATGGATACTGGTATTATGGAATCAACAATATACATTAGAATCCCTGACAACCAGACTAAAAAGGCCTCCCATATATGAGGAATTGGTTACAAAGTCCAGATATGGGGGTTATATTTACATTAAAATAAAAGAACTGAAATCAGGTTTAACATTTATTTTCACAGTTTTATAGTAAACAAAATAAGCTAATGGTGAGTGAAATATAATGGAATTAATTTTAAGGAAAAAGAAATAAATTATGTAATGTTAATGAAAATTCATTAAATTAAGTATGCCACATATACAAAACAAATAATCTAATGAGGATTTTTTAATTGCTGTTGCATGATAATTCTTTCTCTTCTAATGTCATTCTCAATTTTTTCTGCATTTCGTTTTACTTTTGTTCTTGAAATATTTTAAATGAAAGACACTTTTTAACTTTTCGTGTGTTATTGCAATCGTCATAGCTGAATGCTGGTTTTCTTTCCATAAAACTGACAACTTTTTCAATAGCTTTTTCAATTTCATCACAGTCATGTTTTTTATTTCCTTGTTCATTGTGACAGTGTGAATACTGGAGAATAGTTTCTTTGGAAGATTGTATATCATTTAATGTTGACTTTCCTATGTTAAACTCGGTCATTAGTTATAATGAACTTTCACCAGCGTCTATTCTGTTTAAAATTTCCACTTTTTGTGATAACTCCAAAGTCGTTCTTTTCCTCTTATTCCTATCATCTTTTGCACCAATACAAGCCATTAGGGTGAAATAAGCATAAATAATTATCCAAAGTAAATTTCCTGAAAAACAGGAATTGCAAATCAGTTACATATCACCCAAATAGTTCAAATATACACATCAAAATCATATCCGGATATGAGGGATTCTACTGTAGATAGAGATGTGATTCTTACACTTTTTAAGCTGATTATTTACTCAGAACTTATTCTTCTATTTTGCTCATAGTTCTCTTTCTTATGAGTTTGTAGAGCATAAATCAAATGATTTTAAATGGAATTTCAAAAAAAAACTCTACCAAATCAGTAAAGGCAAAAATATCATAAACATTTATACAATTTAAATGGTAGATTTAGTTTCATGGAGAAAAAGTTATTTTCCTTAGTTTTAAATCAGCATTTCCTTCTGAAAGATTTGTCTATAGCAATTAACTTAACCAGTCTGATATTCAGAATGTAAAATTAAATCTTTTGTTTTACTCTCCTTACCTTTAGCACTTATATTAAAATTATATGTACTTTACTAGTTAAATATACTTTAAAGAAGTTTCTTAACAGATGAATGAACAATTATCTATTCTAGCTTTATTTATGCCAGTTATTATTTCATATTTATTAACCTGTTTTAATTTCTGAGTGTCTTTAAATGAACAGTGAAGGTTATTTTGATCTTATAAAGAATACATCTTTTTGAAATTATACAAAATAAATAATTTCTAAATTTAACAAGTTTTAATAAAACTTTAATGAAAATAAAACTCCTTTTTCTTGCTTTCAATAAACTTTATATTATTGTTATTATTCCATGAAGTATTAAGACTAACATCCTTATCATATAAGAACAAGTTACAAGGGTATCATAAATCTATCTTGTTCAGATAGGGGAAATTTTCCTCACTGAAATAATAAAAGTTAGAAAAAAGTCTGAATAAAATAATGAATTCAAAGCTCCTTTAAAAATTATCAGATGCTACACAAACCTGAGGACTGCCTTAAAATTCACTGAACATTCCTACAAAAATGAAGGTATTAGTCTGAACGTTTCATGGGGTTTGTTATGTTGGTCACACATTTAAGACATTCTTTCTCCATAGTTCTATTCTATATTTACAACTTTCAAATTGTTTTTTTTTTTTAATATTTTCTTCTCTTTTCAATAAACTAAAAAAGTTCTTTTCTTTTCTTTATTTCTTTCTTTGCTCATAAATACTTATTGGTAAACAGTTTCCTATAGGAAAAGAAGGTTTATTTTTTTTATTTTACAGTTTTTATGAAATGCTATAAAACAAAAAATTGTATAGCTCTTCATTGATATCTGGGTTTCTTTTATGAATCTAGATGAATATCAATTAAAAACCAATGAAACATTGTTTAAAAAAGAACAGACATGACATTTTTTTTAGTTCCATTCATTATTCAATTTTTGAAAGAGTTTCTTTACTGACTTATTCACTACTTTAATATCAGAAACATGAAGATTGGATTTTGTAACAGTCATATTATGCTACTAAAATCTGCATATTTATTATGTATAAATGAGATACAACAAAATAAAGTATTTGTAAATATCCTATGTTG